CTTGTTTTTATTTTTTTCTTAACACACTTTTAACAAAACTTTTATTGGAATGTTTACCAAGACACATGGAATAAATTGCACAGATACTAACATTTAAAACCCATAAGAATGCACATTTGAAACCTATATAATCTTTTTTTACTGTTGTTCAATTCCAGTTGTCCCTATCCCCCCCATAACTCTCCCCACCACCCACCCCAAACCTTCCACATTTAACCCACCCTTCACCCTGTTGTATTTGTCCATGGGTTCTTTATTCATGTTCCTTGATGACTCTTCCCCTTCTTTCCCCTGTTGTAACCCCTTCCCCCTCCACTCTGGTCACTGTCAGCTTGTTCTTTATTTCCATGTCTCTGGTTCTATTTTGCTCACTTGTTTGTTTTGTTGATTAGGTTCCACTTCTAGGTGAGGTCACATGGTATTTGTCTTTCACTGCCTGGCTTATTTCACTTAGCATAGTGCTCTCCAGTTCCATCCATGCTGTTGTAAAGGGTAGTTCTTTCTTCCTGCTCTATAGCATTCCATTATGTAAATGTACCACAGTTCTTTGATCCACTCAAGAAGCACCTGGTATACATTCTTGATGCAGACAGTGGCCCACAGTGTCCACGTCATTATGGATGAAATGAGACATTCACACAGACTACTGAGTCTGGTGGAGGAAAAGGGGCAGTATGGCTTTTCTCTCAAGGGGAGCAAAAGCCTTGGCCCTTGCCATGACTGGCCTTTATTGGGTTTCTCAGCACATTACATGATGGTCCTCATTTACTATGCACAGGTTCGATTTAGGTGGTTACCCTTTACAGAAAACAAAGGAGCCAATGCCACTAATCACATCACAGAAAAAGGATATTTGCAAATGAAAAGGCAAAAGTGGTTGAACTGGTTACACTCATCCTTGGAAGGTTTAGCATGGATTTTAGGAAGTTGTTTTGCAGTAAATGTCCTCAATTCAGGGTGAGGGAGTTTTTTTAGCAAGAGCAAGACTCAAAGCAGCCTAGGCACATTGCAGGCTTGATTCCCCACGGGAGAACCTATCCGTGGGCATGGGTCCTGTGCATCTCCGAGTGGGAGCTGGGCCCATGCCATGCAGAATAGTCTCCTACACATTCTATTACCAGAGACACATTCCTCAGATGAAAACGTGTCTATGTCCTTTATTGTTATGTCAGTGAGACAGGTTAGTGAGAAACTAGGGAAATTCCTTGGCAAATGGAATGAGAAAACTCAGACAAATGCTTGAACAAATGGCTGGAATGGTTGAGTAATTAACATCCAGCTGATAAATCACAAGACCCTACCCTCCCTAACTGAAGATGTCTAAGAGGTGTTTGTTTAAATCACCATAGTCAGGGAGGCAGAGAACAAAATGCAACCTGAGTCAGACTAATCCAAGATAGAGGTGAAACTAATCAGAGAAGAACCCCAAACTCCATTAGCTTGTAGGCACAAAGGCAGGGAACATGCTCCCTATACCATATGTATTCCCTGAGCACCAGAGCCACATCTAGCATAGTGGAGTCTAATAAATTGGACTTTCCAGTTAAACTCCACAGCATTTCCCCAATGGGACTAAAATCTGGGTTCCTCACCAAGACCCGCCAGTCCTGATGTTTGTGGTTCCTCTTCAGTCCCATCTCCAACCAACTTCCCTTCCCTTCACCTCTTTCTCACGCAGTTCCTCTATGGAGATCCCTGCTCAAAATATCACTCCCACCAAATTCCCCCTCCTAATTACTATCACACCACCTGACTGCCTTCAAAACACTGATCTCAACCCACAAATGCTATTTCTATGTGTACTCACTAGGCATCTGCCTTACCAGCATGTCCCAGAAATGCAGGACCTTCCTTATCTGTCTTCCCTCCTGAGTCAGTCCTCAACACTGCATCCAGCATAGTCCATGCTCAATCAATGTTCACTGAATGATGTAATTATGGACACAAAAGCTTTCATTAAAGTCTACTCATTACAAAACAAATACACATTTTCTAGGTAATATTCTACAATAGAAATTTTGTTTTGAGTTTTGCTTACAGTTGAGAGGCTACCACTCCATGTGGGATAATGCAGACAACTACTAAAGGGAGCTAATAAACACTTGGGATTCCAGAAGGCTGCACCACAGATATTTCCAAATTCTGTATTTTTTTTTTATTGACATGGGTGATTAAATCTGTTTTAAGTCTCAAGACTGGTCCTAGAGATTCCAGAAATAAATTATTCATACAATAATTGAGTGTTAGTAGAAATGCTCTCAAGAGTAATCTAAAGAGTGACACATTGCTTTGAGTTAAAGATGAAGCAACTCAAAATCAAGCAAAGCTGCAAGACTTGTCAGATCAAATGTCCAAGTGTCCTGGCAAGACCTCATCCTTGGGTCTCCTGACCCTGCAGTCCTTGTCTCACCATACGCAGGCCCCCAAATGCTGCTTTTCTCTTTAGAGCAGACCCCAATTCTTTGGTCTGCCAAAATGCAAGTATTTTAAGTACATCTGGTAAGTGGGGGCAGATTCTGGGAAGCTTGCATGTGTCCATATTCCCCACCCTCCTAGATTGATGGGAAGTGCCACACAGGAGAAGAATCCTCTTCCAAGGCTGAAATTCCAGAGCTTCTGTCCTGCAGGTCTACGAAGGTTCAGTTGGGGGTTCATAATGATGAAGTATCTTTTTCCAGTCAGATCCATTTGGGGTGGATTCCTATACCCAACTTCACTCTTTTGAGATTTTCCATATCCATTAACACACAAGAACCCACAAGCCAGGTCCAGGAAAACCTAACTAGAGAACATGCTGCACATTCAGTTGCATTAGGGTAGACCTGGGAAAAATGGGGAGTAGCTGAAATCTGGATACCCATGCTGTTCACATAAGAATAGTTCTACGTACCAATAGCCATTCTTCTTTAGCAGGGGACCCTGCAAGAGACAATTGATCTCCCCCCCGGGAAACTCACAACTAGGCTTGGACTTGTCTTTCATAGCCTTCCTAACTCCATGAGCAAGACCATCCAACAATCAAGATCCAAGGGTGGCTAAATAGAGTGTGTTCAGGCAGGAGGTAAGAACAACCAGGAAGTGTATCTTACCAGGCAAATTCACTGAGTGATCCAGAGAGGTGAAGTAATTTGTCCAAGGTCACAGAGCAAGTCAACTTTGGATTGAGACTAAAACCCAAGGTTCCATGCAGTACAAATCAATACCAACATTAACAATGTTCTAGTTACATTGAATATCTTTGTCCAAATTGACATTCACTTTGGAATGCCATTGTTTTGGCCTGTATTTGGAAACTTATTCATATAAAATACTTGAAAGGAATAAAGCCCTCTACCCACATCAAGTCACTAAAGGACGCGAGAAAGCTTACTGAGACCTGTAACAGCATTTAGTCAGGTGCCTTGTCTGAGGTCATTTCTCACTGTAACAGGTTCTTCCAGAATGTTTTCTTTACAGACCTGTAGTGGACAGTACGGATGCCAGGACAAATGCTCACCTGGGCACTCACAGCTCATATTTACAGCAATATAGACACAGCTACCATCATGGTTCTTTCAACTGAGAGATGAATAAAAGCATATGACTTTGGTGCTGATTACTGAACTCTTGAAGAAAGTTTCTAATGAGAAATGACACAGTAGACCTTTAACAGCTTCACATATACAAACTTAGTAAGAAAACTGCATAGGCAAGACTGGGAAGGAAGACATCTGACCTGCTCAGGTCTACACTCTGTCACCAGTTCTGTGACTGTGAGCACTCTTACAACCCCGTCTGAGGCCTGTCTGGCACCTGTGAGGTGATTGTTTTCAGGTTCAGCAGCTCTAGTAACTCTGCATATTTAGTAACAGCAAACCAAAATCTTAATGCAGATGTGTGTACGGCTTTGCTTGCAATCCATATAGCTTAAAATATAAATTCCAAATCAGTTAAGTATCCTTTTGCCATTTCAGCTGAAGGACATGTGTTCCATTTCCTCCTCTTTTTCAAGAAGGGTAGGGAGCTCTCTGGTTGGCTTTTCAGATGATCACATTTCTAAGATCCACCAACATGAGTCCTGAGACAATCCAATGAAAGCAAGGTGATGAAAGATAAAATAAGCCAGGGGTGTCAAACTCATTTTTACTGGGGGTTCCATCAGCCTTGTAGTTGCCTTCAAAGGGCCAATATAATTTTAGGACTGTATAAATGTAACTAGTCCTTAACTGTTAAGGAGTTGAAATTACATATTTGGCCATTTGAAATCAACTGCAAGGCTGATTGGGCCCCAAGTGAAAGTGAGTTTTGACACCCCTGAAATAAGCCATCACTATAGATGGGATGCACTCAGATAGGCCTCTATCATGCAACCATCTCAACTGCCAGAGGTGTCTAACATGTCTTAGTACTTCTTTGAGTCACTCAAGGCTAACAGGACTAAGTTCACTCTGCATCCAAAAAACCTGTTAAATTTTATATCAATATTCAAAAAATGCAGCAAGAAGGCAGGCACTATTTGTCCTATGTATTTATTTATTTAACACATTAAATACCTACAATGAACCAGGAATGATATTTAAAAAATAATGGGAAAGGATGGAAATCACTCACTCCCCAAATTCCGCTTTGCAGCTCAGCTGAGGATCAACATCCCCAAAACCAAGGGACAACCAGAGAGGGTCCTACCAATGCCCCAGGAAGAAGCTTGTGCATCCAGCCCTTGAGGGAGAAGAGGGAAGTCCAAGTTCTGACTTTGTGAAGTGAAGCAGGGGAGCATGTCTCCACCTTGGTAGGATCTCCCAGCTTGCCCTCCAATTTGGTTTTAAATCCCTGACTTCTTTCCTTTTCCCCAGTTAAAAAGAAAAGTTAAATAAACCAAAAAAAAACCCTCATTTGGATATATACCTATTCTCCAGAGACTTAAGTCAAATCTAAACTTAAAGTCAACAAATTGTGTAGTTTTCTTCATCCTTCATTAGTGATGAAAACTGTGCATTCAAAAACTACACTAAGACAATGTATTCCTAAAGAGTAATCCAGCTTTAATTGTAGGGGATTGAATCATCTAGCAAACAAATTACAGTCACTACAATTTATCAATAGGTACTGTATTTCTACTGTTGTTGGGTTTTGTTTTTGGTGTATTTTTTTTTTGGCAAACTTAGAACAAACCAGAGAACAAAATGTTGTCTTCATCATCATGTAGAAAAATAAAACAAACCTGAAGTATCTACCTATGTGTCTAATAACTCATACTGCAAAAGTAAAATCTACACTTATAGCAAGAGTTTTAAAAAATCCTTAGTGCAAGAAACAACCAATTAATACACATCAATACTTAATGAATATGGAAAATTTTCCTATACAGAGGTAGAGTCCAGTGCACAAGGCTAAAACAATATTCAATAGTCTGAACAAAGACTGAGCCAGGTTTTATGGGATTCACTTTAAATTTTAAGTTATCAGACTATATGTACATACAATATATAGACTATACAATTTTTAAAGTAGTTTAATAAACTCCACAAAATAATAGCAGATGCATTGAAATATTTACATAATTCAATTTTCAAATCTCTCTCATTCAAATAAAAGGGATAAAAATAAGATTTCTGCTTTAAAGGCAGCAGAACCTCTTTCCTGAATGGATCGGTAAAATAAGATACTTTACATGAGAGGAACTAATTTATGCTTAAGAGGTATTCATATTCAGCTAAGAAAATATGTCCCTTTTTTAAGCTCTATAGAATAGGGAATATAAAATGATATTTTCTACAGTTTTAGAGCTCTAAAGTTCTAAATCCAACTCTTTCTTAAAGAGAGATGCTGATTTTGGTACCCATAGAGAGTATATCAACACAATTACAATGGAAAAATAATTAACTTTTCCTTTTCTACTTGCTTGCTTTTGAAAGTTAGGTCTGAAAGAACTTAATATTTCTGGCCTGATTGTGTTTGCACATGACACAAATTTCATGGAAACCTGACTAGGACTTTCAGCTTGGCATTCTTAGGATTTCAACTTTCTGAATCCCTTCCATTTCCAAAGGGTATTCAAGACTAATAACAGATTCCACAGTTTTCCAAGCTCATGCAGGAGGAACACAAGAGTGTTGGCTGCTATGTGCCTCACAGAGACTTGAAAAATGAAAGAAATTAGAACCTCTGTCATTGTGACCCGAGAAAATATGCAAAAACTCAAAGCATTACATGCTTCATTGACTCGGATTCTTACACTTAATACCAAATTTACTCTTTGATTATTTGATCGTTAACCCTTTTATTTTACTTGATACAAAAGATTCTTATCTAGCCCATAAGGAAATTAGGGATAGTCAGAAAACAGTAAAGTATGGTCATGATGAATGAAGCATAATCCTTCACAGTTTGACTTCTGTATAACTTCTCTAAGCACCCACAATGAATATGTAAGATTTTTTTATTCAATCGTTCTGTGAAAAATACCTCAGTAAATAGTATCATTTTGCTCTTCAATGATCTTCCCACTGAACTACTCCCACCCCATTTTTTAATTTTAGATTTTTAAAAACATTTATACAAATAGACTAACTTTGATTTAAAGTAGACATATACAAATTGATAAGAATATTGCTTGCAACAATGGATGTGGAAGTACAGGAATGAACTGGGCAGGGAGTATAAGGAAGTGACTCCTACCTAGTAACTTCAGGCAAACACTTAGCAATTCTGGAAAAAAATCTCAACTGAGGACACCCTCTACTGCACATTGTTTCCTTGGCCCACAAGGTCTGACTGATTTGTAACTCTGACATCAGGTCAGAAAAAAAAACTGCATCAAAATCAGAAGGCACAAGCACCCATATTATCTAGAATTTTCTGGGGGGTAGGGTGAGGAATAAAGAGGGAAAGAGAGAGATACTTTTGGTTCAGCATTATAGTCAAGTTAATTTTGACATTGTTGAAGAAAAAATGTACAAAGTTGTAGAGAAGTGTAAAAAGTGTGTCCCACTTGTGAGGAAGAAAGCTCAGGAGACAGCTCGCAGGAAGGGTGTGGAAGAAACAAACAGTACTATTTATTTGGACGTCTGTGCCATGGTACAAACTATATTCTCTGTTGTGTGGGGCCAAAACCAAAACAGAATAAAAACCAACAAAAAACCCCCAAATCCCAAAAAAGCAGCTAGAAGGAATGGAAGAAGTCTTACAGAACACACTGATCCAGACAGAGGTGATAAAGGCAGTACTCTTGTCTTTAATGCACATCTAACTGTGTTACCTACTGCTGTGTTTTCCCATGTATTCACCTACTGACCAGATAGGGGACTTAAGAAACGGCCATGGAATTTAACCATTTTTCCTACCTCTACACAACTTCCCTTTCCCTTTTACTTCCTCCTCCAGGATTAGAGTCTTTTTCCTCCATGAAGAAAGTGCTGTTAATGATGACAGGGTAAGTTGTGAAACAGGATTTCCAGAATACTGATTTTGCTTCCCTCAAAGCCTTGCTGCATGTGGGCCACAAAGCATGAAGGCAGTAAGTAATCAAGGCAGCGTGATGGAACTATGAATTTAAAAAGGAAAGAAACAAAAACAAAACCATCCCAAGTCTGTCTTTTCTTAAACTAAAGGAGAAACTGAGGGATAGTACAGCTCCCAGTGTGGACGCCCACAGTTAGGAGATGATAGCTGGGGACCACCTCGGCACAGTCAGATTGTCAGCACTGGCTGATCGCTTCCTTGCAGGTCTCCTTAGGTCCTTGTATTTGTCCTCACAGAGGCGAGAGATGGCCTGAGGAGCAAAAGAGAGACAATTCAAGTCAGGGCTGGACCCTGAAAGCTCCCTCCACCCACTTACTCATCAGACACCAAGTGTTGCTCTGAGCAGCATCCTTCTAGGCACTGAGTATACTCATGCACTAAACCAGGAAGAGGCCCTGCCCCAGCTGGTTCACATCCCATAACCCAGACTGTGCCAGTCACAGGGCGGATACAAAGAGGTGTAGATACAATCCCTGTTTCCAAAGGCAGTCTTGAGAAAACAATCTCAAAATGTGAAACTATAAGACAGTGTAGCCTGTGGTCAGCCAGCTCCAAGATCAATGCTTAGGGGTGTGTGGCTTGGGTATGTGCCCCCATTTAAGTCCTTAGCATCCTTGTCTAAATGAGGCAATAATAGTGCCCTCCCCACAGGGTGGCTATGACTAGACACATGCGCAGGGGGAGCCTGGGCAATGAGGGAGCAAAGGGGGTGATGGGGCAGACAGCATGGACCTCTTGAGTCTCACCAATCTTGGTCCCACCTACTAAGATGGTACCATCTACAGCTTTGGTCAAAGGTTCTATGTAATGAGACCAACACAGTGCTCACATCGGAAAATGCAGAGGGCCTCTGCATGCCTGCTCTAGAAGAGGGGTGTCTCGCTAGTGAGCCTTTGATTACCTTACCAGTTTTCATCCAGTCAAAAAATAAGATGGGAAAAGCCAGGTGCAAATATGGAGCTAAGCTCCATATAGTATGAGTCATATCAGTGTAACAATGTCATATAAAAGTCACACAACATAACACAATGATGGCCTTAAACCCAGACCAACACCAAAAGGGCTGGCCCCAGCTCTAATTGGGCTGTGGGGAAACTTATTTGAAAAAATAAAGAGCTGGATCAATCCTTTATTAATTAGGAACTTCTAGTATCTTTTTCCTTATAAAATACATGCTGGGGAGTCCTTTTTGTGGGTTTATTTTTTAAAAAATAGGAACTTTAAAAAAGGTTTGATTTAAAAAATAGAATCAATGCACATTGAATAAAAACTAGTATTAAGAATATGTGCAAATATAAGGTTGTACAAATTATAATTAACTAAATTAATTGATGATTCAGAACCTTTTCCTTATTTTGCAACGACACACAGTGGGAGAAATCATCATTGTGATCACACCCTTCCACGGTACCCAGCGGACGTATCAGCAATAGTGAACCAAAAACCAATATGTTGAAATATGTTACCTCAAGCTTGTGAGCCCTCTCCCTGCTCAGAGGTTCCAAAGGAAAGCTCAGGTTATTTGCTTCTGCCAGAGAACGAAGATCAAAATAATACTTGGCATAAACACTGGAAGGAACATTGATGTTGAACTGGAGCAATTCAAGAAACTGTCGCTCTAGCTCATTCCTGCAAAGGCAAAAATAGCACACATGTAGTTGCCATTCCAGAAAGTGTGGCCTGCCAAGGCAAGCTGCTGGACAACAGAGTTGCAGATTAACAACTAAATTGGTATGAAAAGCCAAATTCACTTGATTTGGTGCCCAGAGGGATGAGGGCTGATTAATTGGGATCATCACCAGAAGTACTGCATGGTGATTTGTTTCACTGAGACCTAACAGAAACATAGCAGGCTCTGGCTGCAAATCTCAACATGAACCATAGGCAGATGAGCTGTCAAGTGGTATCTAGTGAGGGCCCAAAACCAAAGTCCAGAGGAAAGGCCTCTGCTAGACATAGAGGACACATTCCCTCAATACCCGTTTCCCACCTACTGGAAGAAGAGAGTGGAAAAGCTGCTGTAGGGGTTCCTTAAGCAAAGGAGGTAAGGAAAGGGTGATTCACAGCTCCAGCCTCTCCCAAAGAGAACTCACTAACTCTGAAGAATGAAAGCCATAGTTCCCAAACCCAAGCACACACATAATCACTTGGAGGGCTACAGACAGCTGGGCCTCCGGTCTCCAGAGTACAGCAGGTCTGGCGTGAACATGAGAATGTGAATTTCTAACAAGCTTCCACTGGATGCTGATACTGCTGGTCCTGACTACACTTTGAGAACCACTCAGCTATAGAATAGTCAGCCAAGGAGGCAACACATGTGTTAAGATCCATCTGGCCAACCCATTTATACTGTGATGAAAACTAACGATGGGTAGTAATACATTTTAAAATTTCTTTGAGAATGCCCTCATGTCAGTTATCTTTTAAATTAGGTCTATTTCTCAACAGTTACTACCTGGGGAATAAAAAGTCCTCAGTGATCTATTATTGAACACAGACAGAGGGTGAGATATTCAGTCTCAGCGCTATTCCCCCTGTGACCCCTGGAAGCATGCTGTGCCCCCGCAGCATACTACACAGTGCTGTATTTCTGTCCTTCCTCACACTCCACTGTAACTGTTGCCCCAGTTTCCCATACTTATCTCCTCAGAGCCAGAAACCATGATATCTGATTTTACATGCCTGGTCCCCAGCACAGTACTGACATAGAGCTGGCGCTCAATGATTACTGCTAGTGAATGTAGCCACCAAACTCGGCCTGGGCAGGCTTCACAAGGATCACAGAAGTGAGATTTGAACTGAGTTTGGCAAGGGTTGGAGTTATCTCCAGTACTGGGGACCCACTCAAACCACCCCTAGGCCCCAAGGAGCAAAAGAAACATTGTCATCATCTCCTGTAAGTGGACCTGAAGACTGACAGACTCTGTCCCCAGTGCCAGGCCTCATTCCTCTTGACACAATCTCTGTAGTTCTCCTAAACGATGATCCTCCAGTTCTGGCTCCTGTATGCAGGCCCTTGATTTTTTCAAGCCTCAAACTAATGTGGCACCACCCTGCCAGCATGGTGTCCTCCAGTCCCACTCTGTTGTTGGTGAGTCACCCCAGTAAGCCATGAGAGACCAAGGAGGACTGAGCTCTAGTCTCATGTTACTGTGACAACAGGGAACAGAAGCACTGAGGAGGTAAGCAGAAAAGCTGGGATATTTCTTTTTCAAATAACTAAAAATTGAACTGCCTTTTGGCCTGGCAATTCCACTGCTGGGATTATATTCTAAGAATCCCAAAATACTAATTCAAAAGGACCTATGCACCCCAATATTCATAGCAGCACAATTTACAATAGCCAAGTGCTGAAAGCAACCTAAATGCACATATGCAGCAGAAAGAAAGAAGGAGCTCCTACCCTTTGTGACAGCATGGATGGATCTGGAAATCATTATGCTAAATGAAATAAGACCAAGCAGTGAAAGACAAATACCATATGATCTCACTTGTAAGTGGAGCCTAATCAACAAAACAAATAAGTGAGCAAAATAGAACCAGAGATATGGAAATAAAGAACAAATTGACAGTAACCAGAGGAGAGGGGGAAGGGGATAATGGGGGAAAGAAGGGGAAGGGTCAAGTCAAGGAACATGTATAAAGGATCCATCAACAAAGACAACAAGGAGGGGGGAGGACTGAATATGGAAGGTTCGGGGTGGGCAGGGTAGGGGATAGTAATGGGGAGAAAATGAGGACAAGTGTAATTGAACAGCAATAAAAAGGAAAAGAAAAGCTGGGATGTGAGGAAGGGTGGGTGCATTCATAAAGAAAAGCTACAGGGAAAATCAAAATTAAGAAATTTCATCTGAGGGCTTCAGATGGAAAGAGCAAAAAGTCACACTCAGGTCTTTTAATTGGAAAAAAAAAGCGTAACTTTTTCTTAATCCTCACCTGAGGACATGCTCATTGATTTTAGAGAGATGAGAAGGGAAGGAGAAAGAGAGGGAGAGAAACATCCATATGAGAGAGAAACAATGACTGGTTGCATCTCACATGTACCTTTACCAGGGACCAAACCTGCAACTTAGGTATGTGCCCTGACCAGGAATTGAACCCACCACCTTTCAGTCTATGGGACAATGCTCCAACAGAGCCACATTGGCCAGGGTGAAAAATAACATAACTTGCATGCTGTTTCTATACAGCCTAGTGAAAGGATTAACAAGCTCAAAATACATATACTATGCTAAATTTTATACTTCTATGGAATTTAAATTACTTTGTTTTATTTGGGATGATTTCTACTTAGATGACGTTTATTGATGCCTTACTTAAATGAGATTTAATAACAGATCTGTGAAATACTGGAACCCAGGTAAGATTTTAATAAAAAAGAATGTCAATGACCCAGATGGTGGAATAGGTAATAGCTTAAAATCACCTCCTCCCAGGACCAAACTGGAATTACAACTAAAATACAGAACAGTCATCCTGAATAACCAACTCGAGACTAGTTGAACAGGAGTCTTATAACCAAGAATTTACAGAAGACACATGGAAACTGGTAGGAAGGATGGAGACACTAAAGGAGCTGGCCCTGCACCCACGTGTAGCAGCTGAGAATCCAGAGGGATGTCTCAGCTTCACAGGTTCCCCCTCAGGAGCAAAGGGTCTCAGCCCAAGCTGGGCTCCCTAGCACTGAGCACCAAGCAGTACTGGGAAGAGGTGCCTACCTAACATCTGGCTGGGAGAATCAGTGGGAATTCTGTATGTCCTTCAGAGAGACAGGAGTCTGCTAGAAGCCCAAGTGAACTCTTAAAAGGCCAGTGCATAAAATATCATTCAAAGCCACTCATAGTGGACTCTAGGAAGGGATGGCAGTGGCTCAAAGTGAATGGGACTCATCCAGGGAGAGAATGGATTGTGTGGCCTTGAGGAGAGGGCTAAAGAGACAGCCACCAAGGTCCCTATGCTTAGTCACTCTTCCATACAGCCCAAAGATGACATCTTTCCAGGATCAAGCATTCACCTCCATACAGTACCAGCCTGGAAGGAGAAAATAGTCCCAACCTCCCAAATGCCTGTGGCCCTGTCCTACCAAGCCTGAGCCCTGTGGAGACTTTCTTGGAGGCTCTTGAGAGGGTCCTGCCTTGCAGAGTTCACACTTGCAAGGGCAATGTTTCCCACAAGCCTTGACTGATGCCAGCATTCCTGTGCAGAGCCCTTACTCTCTATGTCCAAATATTTATCTGTTTGAGCCCGATGAACTCTGCTGGCCTTACCTTGAGACTTCCCAAAACCCTGCCCCAACACAAGGGTTCCCAAGGCCCTAGGTGGGCGTTGGCTGGCCTTGGTATACACTAGAATTTTGCTGGGTGGCTTCAGACCTAGCACTGGCGTGAAGTTTGAATCACTATCAACCTGGTGAACACAACTCACCCCTACCTGGTAATTCACTGAGCTCCTACCTCATGTATCTCGTACTGCCAGAGGCTCTTTCAGTGACTAAGCCTAGTGGGTAGCTGAGAGGTGGGGGGGGGGGTGGATTTTGGGGTGATTAGGGCCTTTTGATGACTTGTACCTAGGCACTGGTGGAAGCAGGCCCTGGAAAACAACTTGGCCCCAGCCAAGCACAGACTGCCACAAACTGTAGATCACTTAGTAACTCCAAACAGGTAGCCCATGGATGGACACAGGTACTATCTAACATTGAACTGCATTGGAGTCCCTCCCAAGAGACCCCAGAAACAGCACACCCAATGGTGGGCTTCAGACCACATCAGAGCACACTCAATTAGCTCCAGAAGTGGCACATCCAAAGGGAGATCTCTGCTGGCACCAGACCCTGCTGAGGCAAGTTCCAGTTCATGTGATCAGCATGCCCACATAGCAGCTCATACACTGTAATCAGGGTCATTCCTCATAGTCAGCCAGCCTGAGGATTGAACCCACCCATGAATGAGCCAGCAGCAATCAAGGCTCAACTACACCTGGACAGTGCACATAACCTACCACAAGGGACATTCTTGGACCACCCAGGTCAGGTGAACAGAGAGCTGTGCCACTGAGGACCACAAGACACCTACTGCATAAGGCCACCTGACCAAGACTGGGAGACATGGGAGATCTACCTTACACATAAACACAAACACAGGCAGGCTGCCAAAATGAGGAGAGAAGAAGCCATGCCCCAAATGAAAGAATAAGAGAAAAACCCCAAACAGAATTAAAGGAAAGCAATCTAACAGATACAGTTTTCAAAAATGGTGGTTAAAAGGATACGCAAGCAAATTAGGGGAAGAAGAGATGAGCTCATTGAGAACCTCAACAAAGAGATATGGTAAGCATAAAAAAGGGCACAAGAACCATAAAAAAGAATGAGTGACAAATAAAGAACACAGTATCTGAAATAAAGATTATACCAGGAGACCAACTAAATGAAGCAGAGATACAAAGCAGCACTCTGGAAAAGAAGGCAGTAGAAAACACCCAATCAGAGTAGCAAAATGAAAAAAGAATCTTAAAAAATGAGGATAGTCTCAGGGTCTGATGGGACAACCTGAAGTGTAACAACATCTGCATCGTAAGGGTACCAGAATAAGAGAGATCGCAAGGAATTAAGCATAGTTGAAGAAATAATGACT